GAGTAATCAACATATTTGAGAAGATAGCCTAAACAGTTGGGAACACTGAGTTACTTGCGTCTGACACTTATGGCTAGGGTTGCCAGAAACTGACCATGATCAAAATCGATTATTCGGCAGCCCTGGCGAATAATAATCGATTAATCGACCGACCCCCCCGAAAAAATCTGCCTCTTCCTTCAGACTTCCTTACAGAGCACCTCCTCCAACACACACGAATGCGCACATGACCAATGAGGGCACGAGATAAGTTTGTGCACGAGATGGAAGGCTGACAGGCAGGTAGGCCATGGCTAAAATGATTGGTCGTGCTTTTTACAGCACCACGGCTTCCACAGATGACATTTTTTTTAATGTATTTATTGTCAAAGCACTTAATGTAATCATTACTATCGGGATGTTAAAAGCATTCCATGGAATATAACAAAAAGTGTTTCTGAAGTGAATTACCTACCCCACCTTTAACAATTTCACTCCAATGCTAATCCTTTCGGTTTTTGTGTTGTTTATGCTGTTCTTTGTTGTCAAAGGTGTTATATAAGATGATTTAATAACGAGACAGTTGATACTTCAATCATGTATGAACCATAAATATGCAGCTTCTGTCAGCAGCTCGGTAGCTTAGCTTAGGATAGGAATGAAAACACAGGGACAAGATCGTCTGTCTCTGTCCAAAAGTCAAAGTTAAAAAAAAGGAGAATGTGCTGAACCTACTTTTTGGTAAGGTCATATAAACAAGTTATAACACCACACAAAACCACAACGTTTTGGTTTGTATGGGTAAAACAAACTAGTGAGCTTTAGAGGTGTTAATGAATGGATAGAGCAAGGTGATGACTCATCTCCTGCTTCTAGCTCTAGTTCTCAGAAGTGATCGTAGGTACCTGGATCCTGCAGCGACCCTGGAGCCGCTGCTGTTGAAGGTGACATGTGTGGCGTTGGTGGTGAACCGGGTCAGGATGCCATCTGGATCTCCGTCAGGAAAAGTGTGGATCTGCACCGTGTTGTTGGAGCTCGCTGTCACCAGCTTGTTGTTCTGTGTAAAAGGAAAACACATATTAATACTCCACTGACAGCTGATTCTTTAGAAAAATATATCTTTAGTAGAAACATGTCACTACAGAACCAGAAGACAGATGACCAACCTTGAGTGCGAGAGAGTAAGCCTTTTCCCCGACCGTGATGAACTTTGGATCATCATCATCCAGACCCTCCCATATCCGAACATCTCCATCATTCCCGCAGGTTACAATGAACCTGAGGAAGTATGGTTGGATCAGTTTATGGAAATATTGTGAAGCAGGAACAACGTTTGAAAGCAGTTTGAGAGCTATTTTTAATTGAGTGTGCTACAGTGACTTAGACACACAAAGGTTGAAAGTACTCCGATATTTTATGCAAGCAAAGCTAGCAATACCACAGTGTAGAGATGTTCTATTACAAGTAAGATTCATGCAATTACGACTATTATCTTATCTTCACCTAGGCTATAACAATAGATACCAATTGGTTTATTTATTTGTTTGCAGACTTATTCAGAATCCACAAAGCAATTTCAGTTCACACACAACTTATAGCAGTTGAAATAGCAGAAAATGGATGGACTGAAATAAAGAACAGTTTCCTCAAAATCGTAGTTAAGTGCAGTATCGTTACTTTGTGGCAACATGAATATGAAGACCGTTTAACATCAGACTCACTTCCCAGAGTCGTCGAAGCAGACCTCGGTATGTCCCTCCGAGTGGCCGTAGCGCATTGGCTTCCTCTCACAAGGCATTTGCAAAGCTACCACACTGAAGAGCAGAAGAACACAGTAATACATGCATTAAGGTAGGACTAACACTTCAACATTACACCTATGCCCGACCTGGCCATGTTGACGCTAACAATACAGCCACTGCAGCTAACTAACGCTGTTTCAAACTCAACGGTCGAAACATTAGACGGTGTTTACGGGAATACACGTTTAACTTTGACTCATTTTAAATGTTGTCTAACTATATATGACAACTTACAACTTCCCTGGTTGACTCTGTTCCTCTGCTCCTAAATCTCCCGCGCTGCGTTAAAAACAAGGAACCGAGCGTCACGACTCCCGCCAGCTACGTCATGACGCAGTTGTCTAAATCCCTCCTACGTCTAAGCCACCTACTGTCAGTGCAGTTCTCACTACCCAGTCAGGGGTCCTTTCTCAAGTTATCACCTCCTCGACTCCTCTTTCATCCCTCGACTCCTCGCCTCTCTTGGGAGGTGAGGAAGAGATTCGAGGAGAGATGAGTCCAGGCAAGAGGCATTTAAAATAAATTATGAATCCCTTGGTCACTTTGAGCTCTGCATCAGCTGTCCTTTTTTCAATATCACTGTATTTCATCATCAGTCGGGTCAAATGAGCATAATAATAGTTGTAATATGTAATATTGTTGTATGAAACAACAACTGAAACACGAAGTGAATTTACATAAACCAATTAAATGCATAGGCCTACACACATTTTATTGCAAATAAATAGTATCTCCGGATTTACTAAATACTGTTTCTGTGAGCTTAAACAATGCTGATCCAGAGACACCCACCCTTAATCTGAAAAAATAGCACACAAGCCTCCCTTTTGTTCATTCTAAACAAATTCAAAACATCACAACACAAAGTATTTATTCTTGTCATTAAGCCGAGAGTTTGATCAGTGCAACAGGAAGTGTTCTGTTGGCCCGACAGCTGTGTAAGTATTACATCCCTGAAATATAACAGTGTGAAAGAATCAGGGTGTGAAGATGTAAAAAGCACAGTATTAGCCTGAGCAATGTAGTAGAGAAGTACAATTACCTCATAATACAGTACTTGAGAAATGTAGTTAGTTATGTTTCACAAATGACATTCAGTGGCACTCCACTTTAATTGGGACTAATGTACTGTATTTAAGTCATTGTAGGAAAGGCACAGGTTACAAATTGTGATGTCCCTGTAATTCATAACAATATGACAGTGAGCCATGCACACAAAAATACTGAGACTATACCTTAATGGAATTGAGCCATTGTATTATTTACATTTTTGCTTTCCTACTGTGACATTTGAAAAGGTCTTTTATAAGAAGGCATATTGACTCTTTAGTTGATTCCATCTATGTTATGAGTTTGCCTGAGGTTAGTGTTGCTCAAATGTAAGCCTTGAATTCATCTCTTTTTAAGACATAAATTAGCCCAGTTTTGTGGCAAAAATGTATTCTTCTGGCCCAAACCAGATGATTCCCCACATCTAAACCTCAACAGTAATAGTGAAATTCACAACAAATCTAAAAAGAACCGGTCCATCAACATACAAGCTGTGTTGGAGTGAAACACTGACATCTGTATGAAAAGTTCTAACGCAAAGTGTTTGTGCCTGAAAACCTAATGACCGTATGATGAATATGTTATATACGTGTACCCTCAGGGCTGATTTACACTGTTGGTCAGAGGGAGACTGAATGACACATGAATCAATTGAAACATCTGAATTCCAGTCCAGTTATGATGGGGGAAATAATCTTTTTCATGTCCTTATCTCTTCATTTGCTCTGCTGAAGCGCTGGCATTTAGAGGTGTCCTTTGCAGAGAGCGGGATGAATTGTTTTCAGAGCAAAACTTCAAAAGCAGCATTTTCCATACCATTAGCCTGTCTGACTGTGACACCGCCCTCAGCTGCAGCATGAACAGGCATGGATGGATAAGCATGACTTGAGCTGCACCGTTAAATTGGTCTAGAGATGACAAGAAACCTGAGACAGTCAAACGACAGAAGCAGTCTAAATGGCATTTATTGGTTTGTCTATCGGGGGGTTCAGTGAATACAATATACGGCCTCACAGTGATTCAAGTACTTCGAGAAAACTGCTTCATCCTATAGTGTACTGCACTCCGGTCCATATGGTGGCCCTTAGAGTTTGGAGCACTGCAGCTTAAGAACATACATTCAAATAGAAAAATACAAGCAAATACAGAAAACATCGTCATCAATTTGTATGTGTAGCATTTCAAGTAAAGATATGATTTTCTACATGTATAGAAAAACAATAACATTCTCACAACATTACTTAATTGAAGAAAACTTGTTAATACAGTTACAGAAGCAAAACAATGTTTTCTTCTTTGTATTCTGATTACATGAATAGATCTCATCAATATGCCAACAGTCAACAAAAGGCTAAAAATGGAAATGTCGGACATTTTCAGAAGTTTTTCTGTTTCTTTTTTGTGTCCTGCAACATTTCTGTATTTGTTTTTTCTATATGAATATGTCCTTCATTTGCAGTGTGTTAAGCTTTTAAAGCCACCAAAACTTCAATATATTAAATTAACAGTCTTACAATAGCAATTCTTGTGAAGAGTGTATAGGCACAACTGATTTTAAAATATTCAATTACAGAAGATCCTTCAGCTGAGAATGAACAGTAAAGAAGCAGCTAAAATGAGGAAACACAGATGAAGCAGACAGTCCTCCCAAATCTCTGATCCGTGCAATTGTTCCACCATCTTGTGGCTGCAGATAAGAATGCAGTACCATTGAATGAGTTTAATTCCTCTTCATAAGAAACCATGTTTGTTAAGAAGAACTGTTTGAAGTCATACATAGACACCACTTCCAACCAAGTTATCACTAAAGTGTCTTTTTCTGTCCCCATATGTCTAATTATCTCACAGACACTGCCAAACGAGTAATTGAACACAATATGTATAGCAGATAAATAGTCCTCTCTTCTTCTGGTTGTCCAAGCACATTTTACCATAAGGAGGTTAATGTAGTTGACAGCCTCCATCTTTTGAGGGAGGTGTGGTTAGAACCTTGTGGTTTGTTAGACTTGTACTGTTTAACAGGATTTGTATGGCAATGTTAGAGAGGACCACTCTGTTCCTCTTCACCCTAGGGAAGAGTTCTTAAAATGTTGTTTTGTTAGAAACTTGACAGAGAATTCAATACATTTACTAGATGCAGTTTCAGTCTCTCTTCTGCTTACGCCTCAGCGCACTGATTGTGAGCAGGACCGGGCCATAACTAAGCCTCATATTTGCATGAAATAAAACTACATTAAAGGCGGATCGTTTCAGGAAACCACGGAAAGTGCTTCTCTCGGATTGAATTGAAGTCAAATGGGAAAATGCTCCAACTTCAAGAGTCAACATTTCACAATAAGTGTTGGGGACATGTTTGCCTTATTAGTCTCAGTGTACCTTGACTTTGGTTCCAGTTGCTATCCCGAAGGCAGATAGAAAACATTCAAAGTTTCAAACCATCTCTTAGTACTGAAGGAATACACATTTTGTCCAATTGTTCTTATAGTATATCGATTCAGACCTTTAGAGAAGGGGCTTTAATTATTCTTCCTCTTGATACATCCAGATCAACACATATCTTAAAGAACTCTCCAGTTATGCACCATTTACAGTAGACCTCAACAGCAGATTTGCCTTCCACAATACGAGGCCTGCTTTGGACTGTCACACAGCGCAGGCCCCATCACACTTGATGTGGTACTGGCGGAGGAAGTCCCTGAGCTGGTAGGGCAGCATCAGGTTGTCTATGCCCTGGTAGGTGATGTGGCTACAGATCACAGTCCTGCAAAGGTGCTGCAGGGTGAAAGGGAAGGTCCTTGGAAGTGGCCTGGAAAGGAGGGGCTCAAAGAAGAGGCAGGTGGCCGGGTCACTGTAGTGTCTCAGTAGTCCCGTCACACTGGGATCCCGGTACATGCACGGGTCGCGCACATCAAAGCTGAAGCGTTTGTCGTTCTGCTCAATGCGTGCGTGCAGGGAGCGGCTGTAGCGGCGGAAGCTGACTGAGAAGAGGAACTCATCCTGGGCCGAGTCTCGGAGCAGAAATGTCCCCTCTGGTTTGCCCTCAAGCAGCTCCTCCGCCTCGAAGCGGTTCAACACACCCCAGTAACAGGAGCTGTTGTTGATCTGAAGAAGATCTGGAACAAGGATGTAGTCAGTGTGGCCACAGCTGCCCTCCGCTTCCCCATGAGAACAAGAAGGGTCCCAGTCCTCGAGACTGGTGCCTCCAGGCCCAGGAGAGCAGCAGATGTCGTCCCAGGAGAGAGGGGTCGTTGGTGGGGAGGTAGAGGAAGTTGAGACATTGGGTTTGAGAGGAGTCTCCATGTCCATGAGGGCATTCTGGTTGGTGGCTTGGTTTTTAATAAGGTGCCAACATCGGGCCAGTTCAGATTTGGGCGAGAAGGGGCACTTTTCCTGCATGAGCTCTGAGACGTGGATCTTGCGTTTGGACCAGAAGAGCACTGAGAAGGGTCGCGAGGAGCCCAATGAATGGTGGTGATGATGATGATGATGGTGATGGTGAGAGCGCAGAGGAAAACACTGACCCACAGCATCCTGAAACTTTTGTCGCAGTGAGCGGTGGGACAAGGCCTTCCGACACACCACATCAATGTCTGCAGACGTCAATGCTTCCCCGAGAGTGCTGCAGCTACACTTTCTCTCTCTGCGCCGCCTCGGACACGATGTTGACCGCACACCCAGCTCCTCCGTCCCCTCCACCTCCATTCCTCCAGGACTCGACCCGTTGCGAGAGCTCCTGGAGCGTTTCTTTCCCCGCCAAACATAACTGTCTGCACTCCAACTGCGGAAGCCACTTTTGGGACGAGTGTCTGAACCTCGTGGCTTCTTATCTGACATGGCGGCTTCTTCTCCTTACTCTGTGACAAAATTCAATAAAAGGATATCTGAGTCAAACACATGAATGCATCAAATTATGAATACGTTACATTTCAAATGTAGTTTTAATTAGTCTAAAAGTGCTGCTCCTCTCTTGCGCTGCAAATCAATGGTTCCTTAAATACTTTTACAAGAGCAATGCTGGTTTCTTCTTAACCGACTAAAAAATAACCATTCAAAAAAACCTTCTTCTTTCTTTGTGTGCAGGAATGCTGCAGCTTATTTGTGCAAAACTAGCAGGCTGATTTGGATCACCTCCAGTGGAAAACATCAAAGTAAAACTGAGTTCAGGAAATATATCAGTTCTCGCAAAAGACATTGGTCGACTTAACATCTGATCTACTTAGGCAACAGACTTTTCCTGCTTCATTCAGAGATGGTTCAGAAAGAAAGTTTGGTAAACAGCCTACAAAGCTATTGTTCGAACACTTTAGTTATAGTCTGTTAATATTAAATTGGTCATGGCAGCAGTTTGTGAAAATACAAAAACAACAATCTTATTAAACTGAGCAGCGAGATATTTAACATCCTGGTAATCGCTCTCTGTTGTGTTGAACACTTTGAAGGTTATTGCAAGAGATTATCTTACCTTGCAAAAAGTGTCAGACATCCACATCCATGTTACAGTGAGCAGACACGTGTGACCCGCCTGCAGCCAGCTCCAGCTCTAACAGACAGCAGACGGTCCGCTTCCTATATAATTATGATGGCAAATCCCAGAGGGGGCAGCAGTTTCCTCTCCACCAGGGCCAGGTCTGTATGAATGAATGGAGGAAGGTGGAGCCAGAAGGGTGGGGGGAGGTTTGTTTCAGGCTAATTGAGACATCCTCTTTTCTCTCTCCTACATCCTCCTTTACACATTCATTGACAAATTCCATTTCCAAAGAAAAAGCCGGAGTGCTTTTTTATTCACAAAGTGAATTATTTCTGCCTATAATTATGTTCCAGGACACTGATTTATGTTTTTAATTTAATCAGAGGCCCGTAGCTTAACTTAAAGCAACAAAGCAAATTTAATGGCGAGCTTTAAATCTGTTTAAGTCTGTCTGCTGAGGATGCCAAACTAAAAGCAGATTATCCCGCAGGTTTACCAGCAGCCTGTACACACTAGACGCTTCGGTATAGCAGATACTGTCTAACTAACAATTCAGCACAGTAGAGGAAACAACCAGGCGTTTTAAAAAGCTTCACTTATTGATTGAATAACCTTTGCGTTTCCGAGTTAAAACTTCCAGCAAGTGCTGCTGAAAGGACTCATCTGTCAAGGTGATGTCATCATACACAGAGTGTGGATGACATTTTGGGAGATCTATAATTCATGAAACAAATAGACTACATCTATCAGACAAATAATATTACTCCCAGTGGTTCAGTGTGTGTCCGCGCGTGAGTCCACATGTGTGTGTTTCCATGTGTGTATGTGTCCTCTCAGCTCTAACATAAGGGTAGGTCATCAATAAATGCCTGACATCTCAGATAATGTAGTGACACTCAACTTCCTCTTAACTGAATATTTAATGCTCTTCACATTATCACACAGCCCGGCAGGATGATAAGGTCACATGTTCTGGCAAACGACCAGATCGATTTATCTGACCCCCAAAAAAGGAGTAAAGAAGTATACTGGCAGAACCTTTGGCTGAATAAGCGGATTGGAAACCTTCAGGAAAAACCACCAGGTCAAATTATTAAACTAATGCAACAACTATTGCTATTGCAGAGCCACGAGGCTATACTAAATGATGATGAATGCTAACACCAGCATGCTAATGTGCTCACAATGAAAACAGTCTAATGTTTAGCAGGTATGATTCATATTAAAGATAATAATTAGGGCTGTCAGTCGATTAAAATATTTAATCGCGATTAATCGCATGATTGTCCATAGTTAATCGCTATTAATCGCACATTTTTTATCTGTTCTAAATGTACCTTAGAGGAATATTTTTCAAGTTTGTAATACTCTTATCAACATATGAGTGGACAAATATGCTTTATGCACATGTTTATTATCATTTGAACAATGACAACAATTCTCATGAATATTAAACACAACAACCTCTGAATATTACAAATATTCGCCTCAATTCAACCTGGAACCTCTCATACAATAACAGGGTTGCCAACTCTCACGCATCTGGCGTGTGACACACGCTTTCACTCTCAATCTCACGCTCTCACGCTGCCCAAACTATTCTCACGCCAAAAACAAGAATACCGAAGACTAGAAACGGTTTTGAAAACTTGTGTCACGTAGTGATCGACTTCTTAATAGAACATCTTTGATAATGTCTTCTGGCCAATCAGAATCACGATAACGGCGTGGTGTTGATGCAGGAAGTCCCGACGGAGAATACTTTTGCTGTAGTACATCTCTACATCGATACAACATTACGTGTTGATAGAAACCAACACGTAATGAAATAAGACCCCACGGTTTGATGATTGATAGGTGTGTGGGCTGTCTTTCATTTTGACACACAGAACAATGGGGGCTATCCACCCTTATCCACAATGTAAAGTCATTCACAGCCTCTTCCCTCTGTGAGGAGCAGCAGGTTCAGCTTTCAGAACAAAGTAACAACAAACTAAAATGGCATTCATTTTTTTAAATGTGTAGTAATAGATTTATTTATTTTTCTTCTCAAGAGAGTACCAGAATGTGTATTTTATGTTAGTATTTCAAAAAATCTCCTGGGGGACAATCCCCCCAGACCCCCCTGCAGGAGTTGGGTTTTCAGCATGTCAACTCTTTCACCTGTGGGGAAATGGCAGGATTGGCTCCAGGTCGCCCTTTTTATTTACTACAAGACAAATGTGCCTTTTTATTTCATACAGTTCAATTTGGATTGAGACAGGGAAATAATCTAAACCTCACGCGTGGCGTTTCACTGTCAAGGGGAGCGGGTATGTAATTAGGCTACATTGCAAATACTGACTTGAGCCCCACCACTGTATGGGTTAGCCCTACCATGGAAAACCCAACAAAAATACTGCCGACCCTAAGATCCGGTAGAAATGATAAAAAGTAAAGTCTGCAGCTTATTGTTCTACTAGGCCAAAATAGAGTCAAAGAGTATGAGAGTGAGAGTGTGTTAATTAATATATTTGGCAGTTTGGAGTAAGTCTGTAGATTTGTGTGTGTGTGTGTGTGTGTGTTTCATGTATAGGCCTCTCACGATAATTAATTTTGTTGGATACATTTTCCCTGAAATTATTGCGATAAACGATAATATTGTCGGCACCGTTGTATGACCATTTTAGACCACTGACATAATGATAATATATAATAATAATTCAAGTACATCCTTTCAAACTGCTAGTCACATCCTCATGTAAATGGCAATGTATCGAGTTCATTTCTATTTATCGTACGATAAGTCAATGAATTGCTTATCGCGACAGGCACACAATAAAACAGTGGAAACAAACATGTGTTTGACTTTCATTAGTGAATGAAACTTTGTGCCCTTTGTAGTCTGTGTCCAATATTGTGTATTTGTATATATTGTATATGAATCCTATATATATGCTAAGGTCCCGCTGCTGACACGATAGCAGTCATTTCGTGCGCATATGTGTAATCAAACCCATGATATCAAAATCTCACTCCAGCCAGGAACCCAAAGTTGGCAACCCTGCAATAATACAATACAAAGTGTGTGTGTGTGTGTGTGTGTGTCTGTGCGTGTTTGTGTGATGGATCGTTGGAGCTATGTGCAACTCAAGGCATATGCTCGAACGGGAGCTGCCTGGACGCTGCGATCATGTTGCGCGCACTATCCGAGCTGAGTGTGTTGACTTTTCGTACATTGTCCCACTGTCTGGCTTCCTGCATAAAGTCAAGTGCTCGGCGCAGTTGTCGGCGAAATGTCACTCCTCTGTTTTCATTGAAACAGCTCCTTATATCCGTTAGCGCAGCTAGCTAGCACCAGATGCTAACAACAACAATACACCTAAGGTCTCTCCCGGTCCTCCCGATGGCCAGTCAGGGCCTGCCGGTGAGCGTGGAAGTGTGGTCTGCAGCAAGCGGGCGGCAGGAGCGGGGCTGTCAGCATCAGCTTGTAGATGGTATTTTAAACTCGATGCGCTCTGAAACTACGGGGTGGCCGAGGACAAAAAATGCACATGCGTTAATCGCGTTAAAATAATTAGTGGCGTTAATTTTTTTTTGCGTTAACGCGTTATTAACACGTTAACTTGACAGCCCTAATAATAATACAAACTCTTTTGCACCTTTAATAAAAAGATGTGGCCCAAAGATGCTTAACAAAACTAAATACAACACAATTTCAGGCAAAAATAAATTTGAAATATTGAATACATTAATGGTTAGATTACCTCAAATTAAAGGCCACGTTTAAATGTATTAAAAATGTTTTTTTGAAATCAGTGAGTTAAAAAACAACAGTTTCATTTGTAATGTCACATTTAGCAAAAAAGCCATCTGCTGTGTCACTGACTGTACTTATTATGTAATCTTATTACATCAAAAGAGGATTAATGATACTAGGCAACACTTTCCTCGTGTGATTCACAGATTCTCAGAAACTCAGCATTTCCGGCACTCTCCATGAAACTCTCTTCAGCCTCTTCATTGAACGGCAGCACAGATATTGATCAGGAAAAAACACAGAGAAACACACAGTGTCAGGAAACAGAGAGAAGATATGTGATCTGAATTTGAAGAAATTATACAGAAAGAAGCTTCAACGCACGCCGCCGTGTGGGGCCCATACACACGGCGGCGTGCGTTGAAGCTTGCCGGCGGGCGTGTCTGAAGCTCGACCAACAACCAATCACATGAATCTCCCGCCCCGGACACACAAGCACACGGTTTGATTGGCTAGAGCTTGTACTGGCATATGATTCGATTGGCTGGCGCTTCCGTCGAAGCTTCAAAAGTAGAACATTGCTCTACTTTTGAAGCGAGCAAAGCCAAGCTTTGCTCCCACAATGCAGTTCGGCAAAGCGTGACGTCAGCGTTGCTCGCTTCAAAAGTAGAGCAATGTTCTACTTTTGAAGCTTCGACGGAAGCGTCAGCCAATCAAATCATATGCCAGTACAAGCTCTAGCCAATCAAACCGTGTGCTTGTGTGTCCGGGCCGGGAGATTCATGTGATTGGTTGTTGGTCGAGCTTCAGACACGCCTGCCGGCAAGCTTCAACGCACGCCGCCGTGTGTAAGCGGCGTGCGTTGAAGCTTCCGTCGAAGCTTCAAAAGTTGAACTTTTCTCAACTTTTGAAGCGAGCAACATGTGCAAAGCGAGCAACACGTGCAAAGCGAGCAACACGTGCAAAGCGAAGCGGCGGAACCACAATGCAGTTCGGCAAAGTGTGACGTCACCCCATTCAAGGTGAATGGGAAGAAGCGTTGAAGCTTCAACGCACGCCGCCGCGTGGACGGGCCGTAAAGCGTCCCAGAAGTGTCTCGGCACTGGGCTCCGCTAAAAATAGGATGCAAATCTATTTTCGACGCGGCGCGAGGCGTTGCATAGCGCCGGGCAGGAAATGGACCGGTCAGAGCATCCAGTCCTGTCTGCTGCCGTCTGGCAGGCGCTACCAGCGGCATCAGGACTAAAACCACCAGTTTCATACCACAGGCAATAAGACTGTTAAACACCTGAACTGTT